GAAAAACAATAAAGTCATTTAAAAACTACCCTATCGTGTTGTTTTATTTCCATATGCAAAACTTGAAACACATCCCTCGTAACTAGCAGCATTTGTAATTTTTTTATAACTTTCAAGCAGCAGTTATACAAACTTTTGGCTTACGGTTGTTTTTCGTCTCATTTCGCGTGCTGGTTCGTTCCATCACAGCTAGTTTGACAATAATAAGATTCTTTCTGTTAACTAGTTCGTTCACATTAGTATAAACAGTTGTGATCGGCGAGTGACGCTACTACCGTTAGTCTGTACACTTTGCCGTAGGGTAGGATCGGTTCATAGGAGGAAAAGAGAGGGAGGAAGGTCACTGGGTCAATGGGACACGCGAGAGGCGCCGCGAACCGGACTCTTCCGGATTTTGGGAAATTCGGGAGTTGAGACTTTCGCGGAAGTGAGCACCAGAAGCTTTTTTATTTGATTGAGGAATGCATCCCGAACTGGTTCAAGGGTGGCGAGGTTCTATTCAGGCCAATGGCGCGCCCAGATCTTTCTTCGTTCGGAAATAGGTTTGGATTGATGGAGAGGGATTTGTTACCAGATGGACTCTATACTTAATACTTATTTGTTGGAGGCTGTGCTGTCCAAACCGTATCGTGATTAGGTACGATGGATCTTCGACCTGTGCATATAAAACTATACTAAGTGACGTATAAATCCGAACACCCAGTTTAAATGGTTTTATTTTAATAAAATTTTGTATAAGTACTTAATGAAGCATAATAAGTAAATGATAAAAATTTCAAAATGATTGCACTGCTTTAAAGCCCTTTGACCTTTAATAATGTGTGGATGCACCCTGATGTGCAACGCATTCTCCAACGCGCCTAGGCATGCTTCTGATCAGGTGGTCAATGTCCTCCTGTGGTATCTCATTCCAGGCAACCACCAACTCCTCTCGAAGTGCGTCTAGAGTCTGAGGAGGACGTTGCAAATTGAGCAATCTCCTACCCATCATATCCCACACGTGCTCAATTGGGGATAAGTCGGGAGATCTTGGTGGCCATGGTAACAATGTGGCATCATTATGTTGAAAGAAGTCTATTGTGACTTTTGCAACATGTGGTCGGGCATTATCTTGTTGGAAAGTTGGATCTGGCAGGGTGTCAAGATAGGGTAAAAGATGGGGTTCTAGAACTTCGTGGATATAACGCTGCGCGTTCATGTTACCCTCTGATGAAGATTAAAGGTGACCTGGAACCATAAGCTATAGCACCCCAAACCATAACTCCAACAGTGTGATGAACATGTCTTTCAACAAAAAACTGTGAATTCCTCCTTTCACCACGTCGCCTTCTAACCCTGGCACGACCATCGTGCATGCCTAAACAAAATCGAGACTCGTCACTAAAGACAATACTGTTCCATTCCTGATCCCAGAGTGACCGTTGTCTGCACCACTCAAGGCGATTACGTCGGTGTTCTCGAGTTAAAGAGAGGACCCAGTGTGGCCGGTATGAAAACAAGCCAAAACTTCTCATTCGTCCGTAAACACTTCGCATGCCAATAGGTCTTCCGTGTTCTGCAAACCATTCATTTGCAATGAACCTGGTAGTGGAGAAACGGTCCATTAAGGCCAATAATCTTAGGCGGCGATCTTCACGGTCTGTTGGTCTACGACGGCGTCCAGTGCCCCTTGCTCTTTGCGTACGGCCTTCTCGAAGCCATGCCTGACAACACCTAACCACAGTGTCTACACTTCTTTGCACTCTAACTGCAATTGCCCGAAAAGAAAGTCCAGCTTCCCGAAGTCCCACTATACGGCCCCTATCAAACTCACTAAGTTGACGAAATCGTACAGGTCGCCGTACTCTAGGCATCGTAACCGATCGTAAAGGATGTCAAGAACCAAAATCCGCCAACGTTGATTCTTTACTGCGGCTGAAATATTCATTTTTAGAGCGTTAGTGAATTAAAAAAAAGCAGTATAAAAACCGGAATGTCCAACTGATAAGGCTGAAATTTTTTCACTTGTTATTTACAGTAAGATAAATACATTCACCAACTTTTATTAAAGTAAAACCATTTAAACTGGGTGTTCGGATTTATATGTCACTTAGTATATATATAGCAAATCTGTCATATTTCTGTTTTCCATGGCTGGTGTAGGAAAAATATGTACGAGTTATTATGTGTAATATGTGTATAGTATCACCGAGATTTTAATAATAGTTAGAAATATTACAAATGTCGTTAATGTATAAAAGAACTAGTAGTGGACCTAGTTTACTACCTTGTGGCACACCAGCAGAAATATCTTTGAGCTTGGTTCTTTGACTTCTGTCAGTTAAGTAGTTTTGTAGCATTTTGAATACTTTAAACCCATAGTGATGCAATTTTTTAAGTAATTTATCCCTGTCAATAGTTTTGAACGTCTTTTTGAGGTACAAAAACACTGTCCCTGTATGTTTCCTATTGTCCATACGTCTCCTCCGGTCCTCTAAGACCTTTTTCAGCATCTGCCAGAACATTTATTGGCCGCATATTGGTGAACAACTCAGAATTCTTAACTTTGGAAACAGGAGCTTCGGTAGAACACTTCAGTTTTGTTGGAAATTCGCCATATTGCAAACAGGATTAATATTCTTGCTCCAATAATACCAAAAAATTCAGTGGGCACTCTTTTAGACAAAATCTCACTCTTATCTTGATTTGATTTCACTTTTGATGTAATCCTGTTGAGACGATTAATGTTCATTATTTTAAACCCACTGAATGATGCATTATAATCTGATCTCATGAGACATTGGTCGTTATTCCCGTCAATAATTGATCTTACAATGTCGATAATACTTTCTATGAAACAGATATTCATTCGATCTTTTCATTTGTCATTTTAGATAATGCATAGAAGAACAATGTTTTTCAATGTTATCCATATGTTTTATTGAGGAAAGTCAATCTTCTTGACACCGTTTCTCTAAGCTCGTACACACCCAAACATATTTGAAAAATGTGTCATGTATCAACATCTAATCGAAAACTTGGTGGAGTGCCAACGCAAAGAAAGCGCTTTTCCCGATTACCTTCACGTCAATTGAATTGACAGGTTTAAAAATAGCGCGGTGCACAATGCGGTGTAATTGCGGTGACATATTCGCTTTGCACCAACAAAAACTGAATAGAACCCGTCGAGACCGATCTGCGGTCTGCTTCGTTCGGATTTTCGGTTAGGCCACGTGTTCCTGCTTAAAAATAATGAAACCGACTGCAATTGAATAATGCGCTTCCGGTTTCCAGTGTTTAGAAGCTACCTACGCGCCAGTCTTCGTTTTTTCTTGCCGGGCTCAAGTTCCGGTCGACGCGTTTTTCAAACGGAATCCTCTTCATTATGCGTACGGCAGAAAAAAAGTTTTAGTTCATAAAGATACTATATTAATATTACACAGTATATCACAAAATGTATTATGTCTTCAAGACTACATATTTTTATACAAAATTTCACTAATATCAATTCTGGTTTTGCATGAGAGATTTTTTCAATCTCCCTTTGAACATTTTAAAACTGACAAACATCTTGATATCATTACTTAACTTATTAAATTCGTACAATCCCTTTTGAAATACTGACTTGCTCGTTATACTGCTACTGCAATTTTTGTAAATGAAAGTCTATACTTCCTCTAGTAGAATAATTGTGGCACTCATTGTTCAATACAATACAATTTTCTAAGTGATTTGGTAGAAGATGATTTTTTAACTTGAATATGAAAATGAAAACCAAGTAGGCTATGAAATTTTTGATATCTAACCATTGTAGTTCTTTCAGCATAAAATGTATTCTAGTACATTTATTTTTATTTAAGATGATTCTCATAGCTTTATTTTGTAATATTTGTAATTTTGAAAATACAGTTCCATTTGCAGTGAACAAAATAGTAGAACAATATAACAAATGAGGAAGAAATATTTGTACACAATTCTTTTAGAATAAACGGTTAGGCAATGCGAAATTCTATAAAAGTAATTTATTTTCTTGGATATTTTTGAAATAATATATATATATATATATATATATATAGTGCGGTTCAAATTTTAATTTACTGTCTACGTATATGCCCAAATATTTAAATGATTCGATTGACACAATTTTTTCATGATTAATTGTAAGATTTATCGTATTTTGATCTAAAGATTATTCATTAGCATATATTTTGTTTTGTTTGTGTTTAGTTTAAGTTTATTTACATTTAACCAATTTATTACGTTTTTCATATCATTATTTAACAGCTCTATTGCAGTTTCAATGTCTTTATTTGATATATATATATATATAACTTGAGACGTGGTCATTGTCGTCTAGACCAGTTACTTGAAAAAGTAAAGCTTCCGCCTTTTGTTGGGTACTTCGACAAAATTTAAGCAAAGAGAACTCTTTATACTTTTTTTAATTCTCTCTGGCTTTCAATGGACTTTGCCATCATCATCAGGAGCTGCAATCACAATCATAACAGTAGCAACAAAAGTGTAAAATGAATTTAAATTGACTCAACTTACAGTAGTATGTGAGGATGTTGCTAATTGTTGTTTACGTATAGGTTGAGTTAAACGTCCAGTAACATGGTGAGAGCTGGATACATGGTACAATGGTCAAAATTATATAAAATATGACAAGACAAGTTAAAAACAGATTAAAAATTATTTAAAAAACATTAGAGCATTACGTCGTGAAGCCACTTGATGATTGCACAAATCAGTTTATTAAAGAAAACGCAGATAAGCGCTGCAGGGCGGTTAAGAAAATCAAAGACGACAAAATACTGATTGCAGCGAAACAAGCTGGAATCGAAGATTACCAACAAAAAACTGGAGAAATAAAACAGACGAAACTGTACATGGACGCAAAAATAAAAGATTACCACGTGTACGAAGAGTACCTGGACCAGGTCGCAGAGTACTGTTCGGATTTCACTTGAGTACAGGAAATGATAAACCGATATCTTGCTCTGCTGAGCGCAAAAAATTTCATGGCGCAGCTCCAAGAAAAAAATCTAAGATTGCTTGAAAATGCCAAAAGCGATATGGGAAAGCTGATTGAAGAAAAGAGCTTTGTAATAATGGGCCTGAACAACCAGACAGCCAACCTACAAGCTCGATACGAAAATGCGAACATAAAATCGCTAGAAAGTGAACAACTTGTAATTCAAATCAAGAACAATGCTATCCAACGCATGAGCGAGATAGACCAAGTAAAAACTTCCATATGGAACCTCTGTACACATATGGCTCAAGGCAAAAGACAGCCTATGAAGATTAAGAAAGATAATATTGAAGAGCAAATAATGTATATAAAGAGAACTCTTACGGAATTAGCAAAAGTGAACCAAATATTGAAGAAACAGGCTAGGTTGGCTAAGCTTAAGAAAAAAGTTGGTGCTGATAGTAAATATATATATATATATATATATATATATATACAGGGTGACTTCGAAGTTGAGTCATTTATTTTAACATCTGATCAAAAGAAATGTTTTTTCCTTTACCATTTTTCTGGTAAAATTAAAGTAACAAAGTTATAGCCCTTTGGAAGTTTGAGTACCGCCCTGTCTCAATAATAATATTATGTGCTCGTGTTTGGCAACAACGGATATAATCCGCCTTATCGGTTCATCGCATCGGAAACAAAAAAGCGAAAGAATTTGGAACGATGTTTTTACAATTATTTTATTCAGTTGTATACAGTCAGTGTCAGTCGGTAACGCGTGAGTGAATAGTGGTGTCTGTTGCGTGGCTCAAACGAAATAAAAAATGGCACATGTTTGTGCGGATCGGTTTCCCAATCGAGTGTAACCAACCCCTCGTGCCTTTGTTAATGTAGTACAACGGGCTCGTGAATCAGGTGACTTAAGACCTCACAGGAGAGGGCATGCCGGTGCTCCAAGACCGCACGATCAAATACAGGTCCGCACTGAAATACTTGTCGGGAGGATACTTTATAAAACAAGGTAACATTTTTTTTTAATTTTTTTTATTTTTACACACATATTTTGGTTTATCTTCCTTCTACAATCATTATCTGAAAATTAATGACTCAACTTCAAAGTCACCCTGTATATATATATATTAATGTAACATATCAGGAATATCGTTAGTATATAAAATAAATAGTCACAAGTCCTATTAAAAAAATCGGATGCAGTCAGAAAAATACGCTCATACTATAAGATAGTTGACACTCTTTTAAGTAGGTCTTTAGGAGTTAATACTTGTTGTATTATATCAAAAAAATCAATACTATATTTCTTAGAGATTTAGAAAAACTAGTTTAAAAAAATTTTCATTATCCTTGACCATAAAGATCAGGTATATTTTTGTTAGGTTAATGTTGGTTTGTCCTATCGCGAATTTGGCCGCCTTATATTTTCTGTCTTTCCTGAGACCGAGTCGAGACCATACTGATGAGTTGCCAAATAGTACGAAACAAGGACTGTAAATAATACGACAAAGTGGACAACAAGATGTATTTAGAAATAACTTATTTCAAGTGGTAACATTACAAATCCTACATTAAATGATATTAACAACGTTTATGAGAAAATCAATCTACGTAATATGACTCCCAAAATGGCGCCGGGCCACAATATGGCATGAAAAATCAACACTATGGGATAAAATTTCGTTAAATGCAAAACCTCATAAAGCTGAGATCATAAATATGATAAAAAATTCTGGTACACATTTCTCAACGGTGGATATCTCAGTTCTTTGATTGCTTCATTGACGTGTTTATGATTTGACAGATTTTCTGAGAGCTCTGGACCTGATGTTCATCATAGTCCGTGTAATCAGCCACCTAGACAACGCTGGTGATATACCTGTGAAAAAAGAAAAAAATATTAACAAACCATGTTAGATTTGATCGGAAAAATGTGCCTCGTCCTGGTAGCGCAAACGACGTCATAGAAAATACGAGTAAAGGTTTGTTCCAACAAACTATCGAATTAGCTCCGAGCTGAACATGCGCAGTCAGAAATTTCCGTTCTGAAAGAAGTTAGAACTAATTTCAGAAATAGCGGTTTTTCGTACTGATTCGGAATTGGTGCGAAACTAACACGGGAGCTTACATAAACTTTGTTAATCCAATGTTTGAAATGCAATACTCTCAACTTCCGATACAATGGATGAAGGCCATATTAAAAACAAGTCATGTATTTCCATCTCTCTCTCTCTTTCTTAACAGAACAGCTCGGAACTAGTTTTGAACTATACTGACTTCAAACATTCGCAGAAATTAAATACAGTATATTCAGATAAGAGATAGACCGGACATAAACAAGACCACGTGATCATCGAACGCTGTAACATTCGGCAGGGACGTATTAAGAGTCACGCAGTACATATTTTAGATAGTAGATGCTGCTTTGCCTAACTTTGTAGTAAATTAGCACAATTCGATGTGTATACGATTGGTGATGGATATAGGATCATGTGGGAGTGGGGTAAGAAATATATAATGATGTAAATATACATAAGGGTTTCAAAATTTTCGCTTCGATTTCCAGCTTCGGATGCCGCCTGATGTTTGGTGAAATACAGTCGAATATAATCTCAAAATGGCGTTTAAATTAGCCTAAATTAAAAATAATCGTATATCTCTTAAAATTGCTTTTAGAATATTGATTAGTATATTTTTTGATTTCTAGGTAAATATGTAACCAAATTAAAACGTTCAAAACGTAAAAAAATGTGCATGGTTGAACATTGTCAGAAAGTAGATTCTTGAATAGGTTTTGCCAAAATGGGTTCAAAAATGTCAATAATTAATTAAAAAATACAGTAGCTTTATAATTACTTATAACTTACCGAATTTGATGAACGACATCTTTTATTGGAAAGATGAGCTTGATGAGCTTTCATCATCGCTACTGCCTGAAGCACCAACGTCAATAATGAATGGCTCGACTTGTTCCTCTAAAATATTGTCCAGTTCCCACATTCTCTTTTCAACTTTGTCTTTCACGTGCTTAATACAGTTTTCCCATTTTTGCGCTGTTATTAATTCTAGTGCTTCTTTGAAAAGTCCTTTGAGGTCACAAAATTTAAAAGTTGTATTGTGCTTAGCTATATAATTTTTAACCTCTGCCCATATGAGCTCAATGGGATTGAGCTCGCAATAGTATGGAGGTAAACGGATCATAGTTTTATTTTGACTTGCTGCCATTTCGTCAATGGCGTATTTTTGATATACCGCCTTGTGATCCTTGACAATTCTTAATAATTGTACTTTCAGCATTGCTTCTTCAAAGTTGACATTTTTCGAGCGGAGCCAATTTTGAACATCAACTTTCCTTAAAGCCGTTGTTGGGACCTTCTCCATTCTTCGAGAATGATAAGGCGCATTATCCAACACAATTACTGCATTTTCCTCTAAGTTCGGTAAAATTTTTGAAAACCACTGTTCAAACGATTCGCCATTCATTTCCTCGTGGTAATCTCCAGTTTTCTTAGAGTCAAAGCACCACAGACCGTCAACAACAAATCCATCCTCACTGCCAATATGGCAGATAATGAGCCTTTTCCCTTTACCTGGAAATCGAAGTACTAACTGGTGTAGATTTATTTCAATAAGCGAACCTTTTTCAAATGTTTTCATCACATTCAGCGAAAAAACATTGAGACATGAGTATCAGATTGCTATAATTGGGATTATTTAGTCATATTGAAAGAAAGAATATTGAACGTCGTATGATTACTCAGCGCTTCACAATTTAATTTAAAGTTATAAACCTTTAAAAAATGAATGATCAGGAACCTGAAATACGCGCAAATATTAATATTAACAAATTATAACTTTATAAAGCTTAAAGTATGAATTAAAATGATTAGAAATATTAGGAACGGTACACAATATAAAACTTAGTAACTTTTTTTAAGTATTATTATAATATTATAATATTCGACATATTTTAAGATTATATTAAAAAATTATTGAAATATCGAAAACACATAAAAACATGGCTTAAAAAAGTTCTAACAAATGAAAATGACAATAAAACATCCACGCATTTTATCGAAAGTTATAAAAGTTTTGTTACTTGTAATATGTTTTATCTGCCCCCTGGAATTAATGTTTAGAACCTTGTTCCCAAGGTTTGAAAAACATCCGATTGTTGTCTATTACTCGTATTTACCTGCTGGATTTTTTAATCCGGTGGACAGTTCATCTAGAAAGGCCCTCCTGGATGAAGTTACAGAATCATCAACCCATACTTTACTTGTAGTGTGTCCTGCGTTTACCCACGTTTCATCAAGGTAATAAATCTTCCTGTTTTGATTTCTATATTTCCCAATTTTTGTTAAATAATCCCTCCTCCATAGCACAATTTCTTCTCTATCCAGTAGTAAACTATTACGACCCCGTTTTTTCCATTTGAAATTTAAATGCTTCAGTAACGCATGGAAAGTTGATCGTTTGAAATTTGGCAACGTTCTATCTCCATTTACCTCCTGCAGTACTTTATCTATAGTAGGTATTTCATTCCTAAAGAAGAATTCATGCACTTTCCTCCTAATCGCATGCTTATCAGCTTCATCCAATAACAATACTTTTGCGATGTTTACTGGTCATTGGCTCAGAAAAGGTGTGATTTTTTTTATATTGTCTTAACACATTAAACACTGATGCGCGACACACCCCAACTTTGTGAGAAACCTTCACAACAATTTCTTTGATGGTTGATGCCTCGTTCTCCTTGCGCTCGATCTTATATATATTCAAAATGACCTCTTTCATTTCTGCACTCAGGTGTCTTTTTTTAGAGCGTTTCCTAGGTGGACTACAGGAGTTTACAACTTCATCGGAAGTATCTGTACTACTGGGCATTTTGCGCAAGCAGTTGATAACAATAACAATCAATAACAAGGTATAACAATAACAACGACAAACTCAACAACTTAATAAGATAACAAACGAAAACGTCCAAAGAAATATCAAATTGCAATGATGCACACGACATACGTAACACGTCTGAACCTGAATGTGACTCTGCCTTGATACGACTGCTCTGCCGCTCGGCATAGGCATTTAATTGCGAATTGACCAATGAGGGCTCCTGTTTTACGTCGAGATGGCGGCGTTAGCGTGAAAATCACCCGAACCTTTTGTTTACATCCGGTCTATCTCTTATCTGAATATACTGTAGGAGTGTGTTTTGAACCAGTTCGGGGTTGCCTGCTCGAACAAACCTAAGAATGAGAAATACCGACTCTTACGACCATTGTAAAATTTGATACGAAATTCCTATTTTTCGAAGCAAGTTCTACAAATTAAAACGGCGTAGTTTTTTTAATATACTGTGTGACAGTAAAAGGTAAACGCTTTGGTATGTTTATAGGATTTTAATGATTTTTGGCATATATGTTCAGTGTCCCTTACTAAAATCATTAAATTCTCAGCTTCATTCGACAAAAAATGCTTCTCAAACGAAATTTAACTTTTAACTGATACCGAAAATGTACGAAAACTGAATGCTTCAAACAATACACGCAGCCATCACAAAAACTTTCTTTAGAGATTTTTAAGCTGATCTAGATATACAGGGTGTCCGCAAAGTTGGGGTTTTCCTTTACACGACGTGTAGATCTTGAAAACATAAGCAATTTTTCTTAGTTCCATATACACGAATGTCTTAAGGGAACCGAGATAAAGGGCTCTGCAACATCAAACATATCTGAATACCGTCCTGTAGCCGCGACATCCCCGACTGGTACTAGGACACTAGCTCTACCCGACGACAGAACTGGGTCGGGGTCAGTGTGTCAGGTCAGTATGCAACCTTCAACCGACGGTTACGGTCACGCGTGTAGAGGTAATCGCGTAGACGAGAATCCCTCAACGTGTACAAGCCCTTCAACCTGACGATTTTCCAGCAAGAGTGCGGTTTTGTGAGCGGTTGTTGCATCAACATGACAATAATCCGGACTTTTTGAAGTGCATATTTGTGAGAGACGAATCTACGTTCACGCGTAATGGGGTGAATAACTTTCGCAACACTCATGTTTGGTCAGTAGAAAATCCGCACGCTGTCCGTCGGGCACATTTTCAACAAACATTTTCGGTGAATGTTTGGGCTGGCATGGTGAACGGTATGCTCATTGGACCATTTATTCTCCCAAATCGATTGGACGGGATGCAATATCTAGACTTTTTACGCAACATTTTGCCTTCCTTGTTTGCCTGCGTCCGCTCGGTAGCGCATCAGCTGATTGCATTTTCTGTTGGAGCGGTATGATTTCGGGCAGAGACGTACTTAGCCCTTCTCGTCAACTGGAGAGTGAGTACTTTTTCCTTTATTTTTTTTACTTGGTCGCCCTCGTTTCACTACACATCACCTTTGTTATTTCAAGGGTAGTTGTTTCTGAAAAGGAAAACCCCAACTTTGCGGGCACCCTGTATAGATGAACTTTAAGATACCGATGACGTACCATCGATGAAGTTGACAAATCCTACAAGCAAAGTATGTGGGTAGTATCCGGTGGTCTTCTCCCTGACTCCTATAGTCTTCATGGCTTCTGCGACGAACTTTAGAGGAGTGGGGGCCATCCAAGTTGAGGAGCGGATCTTGGACATGTTCGTCACCACATAGCCAGGAAGTAGGCATTGAACTGTTATTCCATATCTGAAAAACAATGAATAAGATGCAGAACAGAAAAAAAGATACAGTCCCCTGAGATGGGAATCTATGTTCCACAAATAACTGATGGCAACATAATAACCAGTTTGGACCTCACATGCTGGTGCCCATAGAAAAAAATCATTCATTTAAATCACCATGGACAAATCAATCTCAGAGTCGCGGCTCCGCGTCCGCTCTGTTCTTCGAATTTTGACTGATTCGTCTTCAATCGTCTGCTTTTTATACAGAGTGTTTCAGTTTATTGTTGCATAACTTTAAGATTCGATAGAACTTTTAAAATTAATTAAAATTATAAAAAAGTCTATATAAACATGCGTCGAAAAATGCGTGGCTTCCGAAATACATGGTGTTTAAATTTACTTTCTAAAATTGCAAAAAAACGTTTCAGGTTTCAACAGACAACAAAACTAACTGTCAACTAATTGACGTTTAACCTTATTCTGCTTTCAATTTCAAAAATATCTGCAGGCACAGCCTACTTCTAAAAATTATCGAGATACTGACTTTTTAACGTTATTTTATCATAAACAATTAAAAATGCATCGAACCTTAAACATCGAAATATCTCAAAAACGGCTAACTATATCTAAAATTCACAAGAGAGCTTTTTTATGTTGAAAAGTGCGAAGAACAATTTTTTTTATTCAAAAAGCAAAAAATTGCACTAAGAATTTTTTTTCGGTCATTTTAATACACTACAGGGTACAGTAGAGAGCGCCCTCTAGGTGCTACAGTAAAACTATGCCCATGGTTCGTTTTGTCGTACCAAAAAAACGTTGTATACCAATTTTCACTGTTATACATCAAATATTGTTCGAAATATTTAAAAAAAACTATTTTAGAAAGTAAATTTAAACACCCTGTATTTCGGAAGCCACGCATTTTTCGACCCATGTTTATATAGACTTTATGCATTAATTTTAAAAGTTCTATCGAATCTTAACAATAAACTGAAACACCCTGTATGTGTCAAGAGTAATCGAGGTTCGTTCCCGACGTTCTAGACTTCGTAGTTCCGATGGTGGCCGACAGATGGCGCGCTCACAGCGTCAGAATAGGAATTTGTGACATTGTTTTTGTGTACGGATTTGAGAAATCGACACATGGTACTTGTTGTGTTTCAGGTACTTGATCACGAGTACCTGAACGTTTCTGTCCGTTGAATAGTACTTACCTAGCATATTCAGTAGCCAAATCCTCCGAGAACTTGACGACATATGACTTGGTAGCAGCATAGACGGTCAACATGGGGCTTGGAATCTGGGCAGCTGTCGAAGAGATGTTCACTACAACGCCCTTTCGTCTCTCAACCATCCCCGGCATGACGATCTTGCACATGTTGGTGACTGAGTAGATGTTGCACGCGATCAGATCGTCGTATAGATGGTCTAAAATTCAAGAATAGTACATACATACCCAGTTTCAGAAGTTTTCGTAACGGTCAAAATGCAAAAACAGATTTTAATACATCATACGTTTACAGATTTCTGTGTACGTTGATTTGATTTACAGTGAGTCCCTTCAAGATACTGCTCATACTTCGCGAGTATATTCAGATCGTTTTTTTTTTGGACGTCTCCATCCCGCACCGCATAGGCTTGCTTATCTCGTACAAATGCCATCGAAGTGTACACAGTAGGCAGCCTGGGATGTTGAGGATTGAAGAATACACCTTGTGTATGATTCTGCCTCGGGTACAAATGTGGTGGTCCTTACCGTTATCCTTGTTTTCCAAAAAGTACTCTGGATGCGAATAGCTCATTCCCACGTTGTTGATCAGCACTCCAATTTCCAATCCGGTCAGTTGCTTATCGATGTCATGGTAAATGGAACGAGTGTCGGTGAAATCCACGGCGATTGTCTTTGTCTCCACGCTGTACTTTTTCTCTGTAGACAAGAATGTTTTGTTCATTGCTAAATTCTGTATTTTGAAGAGAAGACATTTTCGAGGTAAATCCATATAAGCAATTCCTGATGAACCAGGAAATATCCTAAAGGTTATGCAGGCATGAGGTAATAAAAATTAGAACAAAATGTGTTCTAGTATGAAAGTTACAAGGTATTTTAAAAACAGTGAAGGTTTTACCTAAATCTTGGGCTACAATGTCAAGCTTGGATTTAGTTCTGCTGATGAGAACAATGTTCAGTCCTTTCTTGGCCAAATGTTCAGCGTATGCTTTCCCAATGCCATCTGAAGCCCCGGTAATCACTGCAATGAAAATACGCAATCAGTTTTGACTTGCACCATTAAGCTAAATTTGAGTATGTAACTAATATACAGGGTGGCGCAATATTTGAGGAGTAATTTGAAGGCACTCATTCACAATTCTTCGTCGCAGGTCTTCTAATGATGTTGGCTGAGTAGCATAGATTTTGCTTTTTAAATGACCCCACATAAAGAAATCCAAAGGTGATAAATCTGGCGATCTTGGGGGCCATTCAATGGCACCTCTTCTACCAATCCATCGATCTGGCAACGTCTGATCTAAATATTGTCGAACACGTAATGCGTGATGTGGTGGGGCACCATCCTGTTGGAACATTTGCTGCCAAATGTATTGATCTCCACTAATGATGATGTATTAGTTTTATTTAAGCTTTAAATCAATAAATCTTCAAAACTACTGAACTGAAGCTCATGTATTTTACATCATTTTAAAGGGAATTGAAAGACCTTTAAAATAAGGTATCACTCGACCCCCCTTTCCATTTAAGATTTTAGGATTGGTGTCACCCCCGCCCAGGGGGTTGCACGTGTTAACGTGATTTTTTGACAAACTTTTGCCCCCTCGAAAACAAAATCGAATATACAGGGTGACTTCGAAGTTGAGTCATTTATTTTAACAGTGAGTAGATCTGATCAAAATAAATGTTTTTTTCCTTTAACATTTTTGTGGTAAAATTAAACTAACAAAGTTATAGCCCTTTAGAAGTTTGAGTACCGCCCTGTCTCAATAATAATATTATGTGCTCGTGTTTGGCAACAACGGATATAATCCGCCTTATCGGTTCATCGCATCGGAAACAAAAAAGCGAAAGAATTTGGAACGATGTTTTTACAATTATTTTATTCAGTTGTATACAGTCAGTGTCAGTCGGTAACGCATGAGTGAATAGTGGTGTTTGTTGCGTGGCTCAAACGAAATAAAAAATGGCACATGTTTATGTGGATCGGTTTCCCAATCGAGTGCAACCAACCCCTCGTGCCTTTGTTAATGTAGTACAACGGGCTCGTGAGTCAGGTGACTTAAGAGCTCACAGGGGAGGGCATGCCGGTGCTCCAAGACCTCACGATCAAATACAGGTCCGCACTGAAATACTTGTCGGGAGGATACTTTATAAAACAAGGTAATTTTTTTTTATTGTTTTTTTATTTTTACACACACATTTTGGTTTATCTTCGTTCTACAATCATTATCTGAAAATTAATGACTCAACTTCAAAGTCACCCTGTAGATTGATGAGTCGAAATATTGCGAAGTGCATTTAATTTTGCGTAAAATTGCAAATCACAAACTAAGAAATAACAAAGTAAAATAATCATAGAACCTGTTTTACTTCAGTTTCACCATATTAATATTCAAAAACTTAGAGCAATTTATTTGCTTCTAACTACATCGGTTCAAGACGATAAATACGTGCTATCTCAAGGTTATGACAACATAAGTAAATAACTTAGATAAGGTTGACTTGGTAATAATAAGAAAACTGTTATTAAAGCTTCTAAATTGTTTTTATGATACTAACAGTATAGAAAATGTTCTTTTTATTGGGTTGTCGGAAAAGTCATGACGTATATGCAACAAAGTATGCAATTGCATGGTTGGAAGTACGTGAGACAATGACATTTGTATGTTGATTGTGTAGTTTGACAGTTGACACTTCAAGCTTCATTTGCACCAAAAAATTAAGTGATTTATTTGAGTCTCGTCGATTTTAGAGGACGTTGAAGATGGACGACCAAACTGTGCATTTTCGTCACATTTTGCTGTATTACTTCCGCAAAGGCAAGAACGCAAGACAAGCGTGTGAAAAGTTGAGAAAGGTTTATGGAGAACATGCACTACAAGAACGGCAATGCCAGAGATGGTTTAAAAAATTCCGAGATGGGGATTTTGATATCCATGACGCACCTCGATCAGGGCGGCCTACTGAGTTGGATAGTGACGAATTAAAGGCATTGGTAGGAGCAAACCCACATTACACCACACGGGAAATTGCAGAAACCTTAAAAATCCATCATTCAACCGTTCACGACCATTTGAAGAAACTGGGATACGTAAGCAAACTCGATCGTTGGGTACCACACGAACTGAGAGAGGTTCATTTGATGGCGCGTGTAGACATCTGCGATATGCTCCTTAAACGTGAGGAAAACGATCCTTTCTTAAAGCGCTTGATAACGGGAGATGAAAAGTGGATTGTTTACAACAATGTGGTTCGCAAACTGTCTTGGTCCCGAAGTGTAGATACGCGTAACACGATCGCGAAAGCAGAAAGTCATCAGGAAAAGGTGATGCTCTCTGTTTGGTGGGATTTTAAAGGGATCATGTTTTTCGAACTCCTGCCAAAGAACCAAACCATCGATACAACTGTGTATTGTCGGCAATTGGACAGTTTGCAACAATCCATCATGCAAAAACGTTCGGAGCTTATTAATCGCAAAGGAGTTGTGTTCCACCATGACAACGCGAGACCGCACACAAGTTTGCTCACTCGTCAAAAGTTATTGGAGTTAGGATGGGATGTGTTACCACATCCAGCATACTCGCCTGATCTTGCCCCATCTGATTTTCATTTGTTTCGGTCGCTTCAAAATTCCTTGCGAGAAATACGCTTTACTTCAGATGAAGCTGTACATCAGCACCTTGTTCAATTTTTTGCCGGTAAAGACAAATCCTTCTACGAGCGAGGAATTATGAAGCTGCCTGAAAGATGGCGAAAGGTCATCGATCAAAATGGGCAATACATTATTGATTGAAGTTTGTGCTGTATATGAATAAAATGGCCTTAAAATAAACAAAAAAAAGCGTCATGACTTTTCCGACAACCCAATAGATGAATAAAAAACCCTGTATCTGTATACTTCTTCAATAAGTGACCTGATCCATGGTACCTCTGCGGCAACAATGAACATTACCACTGTTCCCAGACGCTTTGTGGTTGAAGTGTCAGTCAAAATGACGTCAATTTTGCAATTTTTAGATAACCAAAAAACACGCTTTTATAGCTAACCTATAGTGGATGGTCGAACAGTCTATCGTAATTAACGATTTCGTCAACTTAGTGAGTTTGATAGGGGCCGTATAGTGGGACTTCGGGAAGCTGGACTTTCTTTTCGGGCAATTGCAGTTAGAGTGCAAAGAAGTGTAGACACTGTGGTTAGGTGTTGTCAGGCATGGCTTCGAGAAGGCCGTACGCAAAGAGCAAGGAGCACTGGACGCCGCCGTAGAACAACAGACCGTGAAGATCGCCGCCTAAGATTATTGGCCTTAAGGGACCGTTTCTCCACTACCAGGTCCATTGCAAATGAATGGTTTGCAGAACACAGAAGACCTATTGGCATGCGAAGTGTTTACCGACGAATGAGAAGTTTTGGCTTGTTTTCATACCGGCCACACTGGGTCCTCCCTTTAACTCGAGAACACCGACGTAATCGCCTTGAGTGGTGCAGACAACGGCCACTCTGGGATCAGGAATGGAACAGTATTGTCTTTAGTGACGAGTCTCGATTTTGTTTAGGCATGCACGATGGTCGTGCCAGGGTTAGAAGGCGACGTGGTGAAAGGAGGAATCCACAGTTTTTTGTTGAAAGACATGTTCATCACACTGTTGGAGTTATGGTTTGGGGTGCTATAGCTTATGGTTCCAAGTCACCTTTAATCTTCATCAGAGGTAACATGAACGCGCAGCGTTATATCCACGAAGTTCTAGAACCCCATCTTTTACCCTATCTTGACACCATGGCAGATCCAACTTTCCGACAAGATAATGCCCGACCACATGTTGCAAGAGTCACAATAGACTTCTTTCAACATAATGATGTCACATTGTTACCATGGCCACCAAGATCTCCCGACTTATCCCCAATTGAGCACGTGTGGGATATGATGGGTAGGAGATTGCTCAATTTGCAACGTCCTCCTCAGACTCTAGAAGCACTTCGAGAGGAGTTGGTGGTTGCCTGGAATGAGATACCACAGGAGGACATTGACCACCTGATCAGAAGCATGCCTAGGCGCGTTGGAGAATGCGTAGCACATCAGGGTGCATCCACACATTATTAAAGGTCAAAGGGCTTTAAAGCAGTGCAATCATTTTGAAATTTTTATCATTTACTTATTATGCTTCATTAAGTACTTATACAAAATAAAATCATTTAAACTGGGTGTTCGGATTTATATGTCACTTAGTATATAATAGAATTCAAGTTACTGACAGAATAATTTAGAGTGAAAAGCGAGGGGTGGTAAATGTTACAATCATTCTATTGGCAACTATCTATGGGAGGAGAGTTATGAAAATGTACTAAAATGCACCCCACGCTTTTTACTCTAAATTATTGTTAATAACTTGAATTTTATTAGAATTTTATTTTGACGTCGTTAATTATGATTGATTGTTCGACGATCTACTATTGTAATATAAACCCTTTGCAATTAAACATAATTTTCTACTTTCCAGTTCGATTAGCTATAAGAGCGTGTTTTTTTTGTTTTTTAAACTATTATTTATTGTTAATTTTTTAGATCGATGTATCAACTAGTTTTTGTGGACATGTGGTATTGAAATCTCTTACGAATCATTTCGTAATCCAATCATTTATTTAAAGCTTCAGTGACATGACTAAGTGCTACATAAGCTTTTCCATCTGCAAACAGTCGCGAGTCTAGATAAATAACTGCACGATCAACTGTACAACCTTGCATCTTGTCGGCGTGTCGAAGCGCAACTCAGCACTAACGACAACACTCGCAACGAACAAGGTGAGAATGCACCACCTTGAAAAAGTATCTGCCTCCGTTGTGGTGTGCCAAGTGCCCTAACCAACAAAGAGTCAGTCCGAAACTGCACGCATGCGCAGATAGCGCGCTAGCTCTATCTCTCTTACTCCCGTACAGAGGATCTATAAAAGAATTTATCAATCCTGGCGGTCCTGATAAGGGTAATCAAACTTCTAGAAATTGGTGAAAGTTATGCTCAAAGATTCCGTTACATTCATACAAAAATATTCCCGTCCGACATTGTTGTTCTGTATTTCCCAATTATCAGTCTCTTTCTTACAACTTTTATCCAAATCCGCAATGTCGTAGGGTACAGTGTCGATGGTGCTTAGAGTACAAAAACCATTATGATAATTTTGACAATGATACGAGAAATTGATATACGAATCAGAATGAGTTGTAAACAAATATCGGATTGGCAACAGATTGCACCTTAGACTGTCCTGTTTCGGTAGGATCATGTACCCCAGATAGAGGTTAGTTGCTACGCTTTACTTTGTTGTTTTAACCTGAGGCCCAACCTAGACGATGCTGATGAGTTGCCAAAAAGCACAAAACATCTGTCCATGGTGACTGTCTATGATGAAACCAGTATGCTTAGATGGTAGTTATCCTTCGTTTTTTTATTTCAGAGAAAAATATAGATGACTTTGTTGAAGTCCTTGTCCAGTCGACACAGAATTGATGACAGTTTTCTCGACTATTGTCCAACTTCAAGGCCACATAACGATTCTTTTTAACACGCTAAGAATAAGGGGCAAGCACTGAGAGCAGTTAACGATACGGGTGCTTGTACCAGAACATCGCGCATCAAGACAAAAACAAACAAAATGGTATACAATCATCTTTTAATTTCTGCGGGCCTTCCTAGGTATATATTTTGCGCAAAATTACTAGTAAGACCATAGCATATTACTGTTGTTTTTTATTCGCGTTATGCAATCAAATACAGTTTTCGATGCCTGTTTAGAATTCAAGCTTCGTCGATACATTTTACCGATGTAGGTTAAGTATGTGTTAGCATTTTGTCCAGGTAATGAACCATTGTTTTCAAATCATTTTAAATCTACGTAAGCATTTGGGACGATCGACAAAACTCGTGGATGATTCGCTGAATAAACAAGATTATTGATATTATTAGCTATTGATAAAGACATTTTTTAATATGATTTTAAATTATGAGTTTTTGGATATTAATTTAATATGAAATTTTGAAATTTCAATCCTAGTAACTGTGATATGATTATACAGGGTGTTTCAGTTTATTGTTGCATAACTTTAAGATTCGATAGAACTTTTAAAATTAATGCATAAAGTCTTTATAAACATGGGTCGAAAAATGCGTGGCTTCGGAAATACAGGATGTTTAAATTTACTTTCTAAAATAGTTATTTTTAAATATTTCGAACAATATTCGATGTATAACAGTGAAAATTGGAATACGAGGGTTTTTTGGTACGACAAAACGAACCATGGGCATAGTTTTACTGTAGCCGCTAGAGGGCGCTCTTTACTGTACCTGTAGTGTATTAAAATGACCGAAAAATTTTTCTTGGTACAATTTTCTGCTTTTTGAATAGAAATACTGATTCTTCGCACTTTTCAACATAAAAAAGCTCTCTTGTGAATTTTCGTTATAGTTAGCCGTTTTTGAGATATTTGGATTTTTAAGGTTCGATGCATTTTTAATTACTTATGATAGAATAACGTTAAAAAGTCAGTATCTCGATAATTTTTAGAAGTAGGCTGTGCCTGCAAATATTTTTGAATTTGAAAGCAGAAAAAGGTTAATTACTTGTAATGCCCAAAACGAAAATGTAAAAAAAAAGATTATTTTCCCATAAATAATTAAAAATGCATCGAACCTTAAAAATCGAAATATCTCAAAAACGGCTAACTATAACGAAAACTCACAGGAGAGCTTTTTTATGCAGAAAAGTGCGACGAATCAGTTTTTTTATTCAAAAAGCAAAAAATTGCACTAAGAATAAATTTTCGGTCATTTTAATACACTACAGGTACAGTAGAGAGCGCCCTCTACCGGCTACAGTAAACTATGCCCATGGTTCGTTTTGTCGTACCAAAAAACCCTCGTAAACCAATTTTCACTGTTATACATCGAATATTGTTCGAAATATTTAAAAAAAACTATTTTAGAAAGTAAATTTAAACACCCTGTATTTCGGAAGCCACGCATTTTTCGACCCATGTTTATATAGACTTTATGCATTAATTTTAAAAGTTCTATCGAATCTTAAAGTTATGCAACAATAAACTGAAACACCCTGGAGAATGATGAAAGGTACAATAAAAGTATGACGAATCATTAAAAATCTTTTTACAAAAAAAATTTTTTTATTTGAGAAAGTTAACATTTTTGAGCAACAGAGAATTGTTTGAGGGCCTGAAAATCAAGTCATTTAAAAACAGGATTGGTTAGTTTTGAAAATTTTGAATTAGGTGTCCAAACAATCTAGGCTGACCAAAAAAAAAAATGAAATCGTAGTTTTGATAGATTTTGAAATTTTCGTGTTAGCAGCTGTGTAAGATATTTTTAATATGATTCTAGAATTATGAAAGACTAAAAATAAGAGTTTTTGGATATTAATTTGAAACTAAATTTTGAAATTTTAATGCTAGTAACTGTGATATGATTATAGAATCATGAAAGGTACAATAAAAGTGTGACGACTCATTGAAAATCTTTTTACAAAAATAGTATTTTGGGATTTGCGAAAGTTAACAGTTTTGAGCAACAGATAATTGTTTGGAGGCTTGAAAATCAAGTCATTTAAAAACAGGATTGGTTAGTTTTGAAAATTTTGAATTAGGTGTCCAAACAATCTAAGCTGCAAAAAATGAAATCGAAGTTTTGATATATTTTGAAATTTTCGGGCTAGCAGCTGTAGAAGAAATTTTTTAATATGATTCTAGGATAATGAAAAAAACAATAAAAATATAATGAGTTATCTAAGACCTTAATAGACAAAATAGTGTAATAGGTAAAAATGGGAATTGCGGGTCAACATTTTTAGACTTGGCTAGTTTTGAGAGTCTTTAGCTAACGAAGCAATCTAAGCTAATCAGAATTGAAATCGAAATCTGGGTAATCTGGTACACATGACTTCGATGAAAAATGATAAAATTCCTGAAAAACTTATCTTCAGTTTTTAAATCAGAAAACTCTTCTCCTGTAGCATTTGAAACAAAATAGAGTAAAATATTTTCCCTTATTACCTAACGCTTTATGTAACATACTAACCTGCCCATTTTCCTTGTCGTTTCAAATCCACAGCATTTAATCCTAAAGCAACAGCCACGAAATTATCGTAAACGAACCTCCATAGCCATCTCAGCACTTGTAAACCCACTAAGAATGTGCATATCAAACCTACTTTGTCCAAAAGGCATCCTGACGAACCAGTGTTATTCATTTTTGAAATTATCTAAATCACTTATCGAAAAAATGCAGTTCAGATTTATTCAGAAAACAACTGTGTTCGTAGTCATTTACTGTCAGTGTGAATGCCTTCTTCTGCAATTTCTCCAATGTCTTCTTCAGTGCTTTTCGTTTTTCCTTAGTAGATCATTTGTGTTGCTTATTGATTGCTGATTTTCTTGTTTGAAATTAGTTCTTTTAGGTCTGAGGAGCTTTCATTTTTTGGGGTAGCGTATATCATATCCCAAAAGCTTTGACACCATATTCGATTTTTGATAAAATGAGAACTGATTTGACCTTGATTGAATTGAAAAATCGATATTTTGAAGTACTGGAAGCATAAATAACGTCTGTCAAGGTTCAAAAAGTCAAAGGCTAACTGGTACTGAATTATGCTATTGTGAAAAGTTAAGGAATCGAAGATGAATTGCAATTATTTTGTGATTTTTGGAAATGCTGCAATTTAGTAAAAAATGATGGTAATTGGGGTTCGAGGAGAAGCAGTTTTAATGCTAGAAATGGCTACAATTTTGTATCTTTTAGTGAAAATCAGGTATTGAAAAAATGGTATGCAAAAAGAACAGGGAAATAATTTATGTTTTTTTTGAGACTAAATGGCTAATTAACCCTGTAATAATTCATCTTGATTTATCGACACTTTGTTTCGAATAACCGAAAATTCGAATTAAAAATAAAATTATCGTTTATTGCTGTTAAAAACGTTAAAATTGAAACCACTTTTTGAGCTTTTTGCAAATCGCTTAAAACATTTCTTAAAAAAACAATTTTTCCATACATTTGAAGGCTTTTTGTAAGGAAAATGTCCGAAAAGCTAAAAAAAAATCGTTTCTCATTTCAAAGATTTTAGCAGTAATGGACGTGGCCCTTTAATTTTTTGAAACTGATCGATCAAAACAAAAAAAGTCTGCATTGTTCAAAGTAGAGAGGTTTATTGTAGGTATATAATAATAATAATAATAATAATATTTATTCACTCAATGTACAAAGATAACAAACAATATGAGTAAATAAATATAAAATCAAAACAGGCCCAATAGAAGGAATCGCCTGTACATGGACCAATAAATTTAAGTTGAAACTGTAGAATGCAAATGACAAAAAAGGACAAAAATTAGCTACAGTAGATTATGTATTTAGTTGATGTTCGTATTTATGAGTTTATGAATTTCAGTCCTAGATATAGAATGTAGCCACTTTTTTAAATTTCTTTTGAAACAATTTCCGAAACGTAAATCTTTTAAGTCTTTAGGTATAATTTCATAAAATTTAGGCGCTAAATAGAGATAACATATGATCGCTGCATTATAGATTTATGCGGTTGAGGAACTACTGTGCCACGAATTTTGTACCTGGTATAATGATTATGTTTAATTTTTTGGTCGGTGTTTACAAATTTATGGTAGTGTGTAAGAAATAAAGTTGTCTTATATCATACATTCGAACATCTGCGTATAATTTTTCAGTGGGATAAAGTTTCGGTTTTTTAAATATCATTTTTAGAATACTTTTTTGAAAAACATCTAAATTATAGATATGTGAGGAACATGCAGCTCCCCATGCTAATATACCATATGTGAGATGAGGCTCAATCAGTGCATGGTATAATGTTCGAAGATATTTTTCTGTCAATATATTCCCAAGGTATTTAATTTTGTAGGATACAAATCTAACTTTCTTTAAAATATAATTGACATGGATGTCCCATCGTAAGTGAGGATCCAAGACCACTCCAAGGTATTTTATGTTGGGCACTCTATTAATTTGCATTTTTTGATCATTAATATTGAAGGAGAAATTTGTGTAATTTGGCAGATGTCTAGCATAAGATCCAAATGGCAAAAAATGTGTTTTAGAGTACTTAATGCTTAATTTTCTACTGTTAAACCACTGAATAATTTTGATAAAATCATTTTCAATTACATTTTTCAGATCAGACCAGTCAGTGCCTTCATATAATATTGCAGTATCATCTGCAAAACTAGTTATTTTGCCAACACAATTAATTTGGAAAATATCATTTAAATATATATTGAATAACAGCGGACCTAAGACAGTTCCTTGTGGGACACCACACTTAATATACATTTCTTTACTAAATGATCCTGATATCTGCACAGATTGTGGGCGATTTGACAAATAACTTTCGATCAGTGAGTACGCGTTTCCTCTGAAACCAATTCTCTCCAATGCTTCTAATAATAATTTGTGATTAACTGTGTCGAAAGCTTTCTTTAAATCAACAAAAATGCAGATTGAAGGGATTCTGTTATCAATATTTTGATGTATTTGATTTACAATTTTAGTTATTGCGTCCGATGTAGCCTTCCCTTCTGTAAATCCATATTGATTTTCATTTAAAATTTTGAATTTTGTGAGGTATCGAATCATTCTAGTAGATAAAAGTTTTTCAAAAACCTTTGCTACACTGGATATTATTGGTATTGGTCTATAGTTGTTGACATCTGTTTTTGTTCCTGATTTATGTATCGGTATTATATTACCTTTTTTTAAAATTGAGGGATATATGCCAGATTCAAAGCATTTGTTGATTAGGTAAGTGAGTGGTTCTGTTATGTCCTCGGCTATAATTTTCAAATGCTCGCTTTTAATACCATCGAACCCAGGACTTCACATTGCTCGACATTATCCAAAATAAATGAGTTCAAAGTTCTTTTTGGAGGCTGAGTATTTTGTACATTTGCTTGTATATTACTTGCTAAATTTTCGCCTATGTCAGTAAAGAATTGTACAAATTCATCGCATATCTGTTAAGTATTTTTTAATACCGTTCCCGATGTTGAATTTAACTCAGTGACACACTCTTTAACTTTTGTTTTCCCAGTAATCTCATCAATAGTTGTCCAAAGCCGCTTAGGATCATTTAAGTTATTATTCAATTTATTTAGGTAATGTTTTCGTTTGGTTTGCCTTACAAGCTCTATAAATTTATTTTTATATTGGTTGTAGCAGTCGGTATTCTCTGTAGTTGGCGTTAGTTTCATTACATTATATACGTATAGTCTTTCTTTTTCTATTGCCGATGTTATTAATCCTTTGGTAATCCAGGCATTTCTGCTTTTCTCTTTGTGACTAATTATTACTTTATTGGTACTAATATCTATTAGTTTTTTTATTTTCTCTATGAACAGTCCCGTTGCTTTGTCTATATTATTTATAGAGTATAATTGTTCCCAGGATTCTTGTTTGACATTTGATATTAGTTTTGAATTGTCGACAAAAAATTTGTAATTTTTCTGGTTGTTATTAACGGTAGGGATGTTAGAATGTTTTTCATTTGAAGATATCAGTAAAATAGTGGAGAAGTGGTCAGTAATATCGCTTTGTAGGATTATTGGTATACAAGTAATTTTGTTGGATAGGTCTTTCACAAAGCAGTGATCTATACATGTACCACTGATGGACCTTGTAGGTAGGTTTATATAGGTCAGAAATCCGTTACTTGATAGGATATTCAAGTATTCATTTGTGATGGGATCATCGTCCAAAATATTTATATTGGCATCTCCCAAGAAAATATGTTGCTTTGAATGAACTTTATTTTGATTTTGAAAAAAAAGTTCGATATTCTTTAAAAACTCGTGGGGTTCTGAACATGGCGGACGATAAATTGCAGATACCTCAATTTTGTTATGGTTAATATACAGGGTGACTTCGAAGTTGAGTCATTTATTTTAACAGTGAGTAGATCTGATCAAAAGAAATGTTTTTTTCCTTTACCATTTTTCTGGTAAAATTAAAGTAACAAAGTTATAGCCCTTTGGAACTTTGAGTGCCGCCCTGTCTCAATAATAATATTAGGTACTCGTGTTTGGCGACAACGGATATAATCCGCCGTATCGGTTCATCGCATCGGAAACAAAAAAGCGAAAGAATTTGGAACGATGTTTTTACAAGTATCTCAGTCATTTGTATACAGTCAGTGTCAGTGAAAGTGGTATCTGTTGCGTGGCTCAAACGAAATAAAAAATGGCACATGTTTATGCGGATCGGTTTCCCAATCGAGTGCAACCAACCCCTAGTGCCTTTGTTAATGTAGTACAACGGGCTCGTGAATCAGGTGACTTAAGACCTCACAGGGGACCTCACGATCAAATACAGGTCCGCACTGAAATACTTGTCGGGAGGATACTTTATAAAACAAGGTAAAAAATTTTTTTTAATTTTTTTTTATTTTTACACACATATTTTGGTTTATCTTCCTTCTACAATCATTATCTGAAAATTAATGACTCAACTTCAAAGTCACCCTGTATACATATACCGCTCAATATTAGCAATTTAGTTATAAAAAAAATACTAATTTTTTTAAAATATGGGAGTGGAAAAAATTGTTTTTTCATAAATGATCACTGATGGTCTTAAAGATTTCCGTCCAGCATTTGCAACTACCCTTAGATTTTCGATAGGACGATTGGTTCCTTGGATATCTAAAGGGTATTTTTTAAATTTGATTAGAAATGGTCATATCGAGTTTTTGAAAAAGCAAATTGAAGCTATGTTAACCATCTTTTGAGACCATGCAAACATGTTTCTAGGATTGCGTAAACGCTGCAGTTTCAACAACTTTTGACTAAAAGATCCAAAAAACTAGACATCCGAAGTCTTAAAATGCTTCGCTTAGGACCTCAATAGAACCGTTTTTTAATGAGATGCAGCACTTCAAAGCATCGCAAACAAATTACAATTTTCATTTGATCCCTTCATTTTTTCATTTATTATGAATCGATGAATTGCTAGGTGCTGATCGGATGTGAAGAAGAACAAATTTTTTAAGCAACTACAAACAAGTTTTGTAACTCCAAAGCGGTCTATTTGAGAGAAAATTCACTTGTTCAGAATCATATGGAAAATCTTAAAAAGCTTTATTCTGAGCGAAAATATGTTTAAACGAATAAACATCGGATTAACTGGCAACTAACAAAGCTAATTATGACACAAAAATCGAATTGGAAAATTATTCTCACCGATGCGACGTTTTCGACTCGGCTATTTGGGACGTACGCTGATAAGTAGTTTTAAAATAATACCAAAATGAAAGCTCCCGTCTATCCTGTAGCTACGTTCCTTCAAAAATTATCACCTGATTCACTTTTTTCACACTGCACTACGACTTATCGCTCCCGTTTACTGATAAGGGAGCCGCAATGGAAAAGGCTGCGCGCGTTTATCGACTATCGCGAGCCATGTTTCGTTGATGTAGGCATTTTTTGGAGACGTCGCAGGCCTGCGTACTTTCATTGAAGCGTCGACCCCTTTCTCGAGCGACGCGCGGCGTCGATAGTACGGTCAATCGGGGAAGACTTTCGAAATATCAATTTATATATATATATATATATATATATATGACGAGTTTCTGCAACCTAAGGTCGCTTCTCGCAACGCATACGCCATCGTATCCTATCGTTCCAGTCTCCTTCATGTAGTCCTCTACTTTCCATTGCGGTATGGATGTTTGAAATCCATTTCCTTCGTGGTCTTCCTCGTTTATTTCTTTGTGCTGGTGTCCATTTCCAAACCCTTAATGGTATCCTTTCTTCGTTCATTCGTTGCAGGTGTCCATACCATTTTAACTGCCTCTCTGTTATATCGTCCATTATTGTATTTTCGACTTCCATTCTTTCTCTGATGGTCTCATTTCTAACATGGTCAAGTAAAGTTAAACCGGAACATCTTCTCCAGTACATCATTTCGGTTGAGAGAAGCTTTTGTGACATATTTTTATCTACAACCCACGCTTCTGACCCATACGTCAGTACTGGCTGAATCATAGCCTGATATATAATTTTTTTTGTTTTCTTTGTTAGGTTCTTACTCCACAAGATCGGATGTAGTGCTTTAATCATATTTTTCCTTTTGCTATTTTCCTTAGTATGTCTTTATTATCCTTTCCGCTTTCATCTATTGTAACTCCTAGGTACTGGTACTGTCCGACGTTTTCTATTTTTCCGCTTTTTGTTTCGATGTCTTGTCCTGTGCCTCCTATAGTCATGTATTGTGTCTTTTGTATATTTATCTCCAAACCCCATTTAGTGAATTCTTCTATAAGTTTGTTTATCATGTAAGTCATGTCTTGCTGGTCTTCTGCAAAGACTGCCTGATCATCTGCAAAGAGGATTGTATACAAGTGAAAGTCCTCTAACCATATCCCCATGGGGCTGCACTTTCTTATCCACTGTTTTAAAGCGCTGCAGAGATAAATTTTAAACAGGGTTGGAGAGAGGCAGGAGCCCTGCTTAACACCTTTTGTTTGTGGGAAAGCCTCAGAAATTTGATTTCCGACTTTACCGACCACTTGATTTTCTCTATACATTGCTTTTATGGCGTTTATGTATTTGCTATTTATGCCTGCTTCTTTCATTGCGATCCATAATTTCTGCAAAGGGACGGAGTCGAATGCCTTGCGGAGATCTATAAAAGTAGCGTGTAGCTCCATTCCTCTTGCTAATCTCTTTTCTGTCAGTTGTTTTATTGTAAATATGTTGTCGACACAGGATCGCCCAGGTCGAAATCCACTTTGTTCTTCAATTTCCGTGGCTTCGTCTTCTATTCGGGCTGTTAGGACTCTTTCGTACAGCTTTCCGATGGACGATGTAATACTAATACCCCGATAATTACTACAGTCACTCCTGTTTCCCTTTTTATAAATGGAATTTATGTAAGAGCTCCTCCAATCTCTGGGAGTCGTTTCCCCTTCCAGGCACTTGTTAAAAATTACACAAAGTAGCTCGTGCGTTCTTGTGGTGGCGTGTTTAATTAACTCGATAGGCAAATCCCCCGGTCCCGGAGCTTTATTATTTTTCATTTTTTGTAATGCTGTTTTTATTTCTTCTAATTGAATGGTATCTACTCTGTTAACTCCCGTTTGATCTATATCTAGTTGCGTGTCTAAATACTCTCCACGTTGTTCTGCCAGTAGATTATTGTAGTAGTCTTTCCACTGTTCTATTTTTATGGGATTTATTTTTCTTCTTTCATTCGTGTTTGTTTTAAGACCATTTATAGTTCGCCAAGCTTCTCTAGACCTAGATCCTCCTACCATTGAGCTAATTTCAGCACATTTGGTTTCCCATGTTTTGTTTTTTATTTTTTTAATTTCTTTTTTTACTATATATTTAAAACGATTATAGCTTTTTCGATCTTCATCGTCTTTTGTAGTTAACCATTTAAGATATAAGTTTTTCTTTTCTTCTACCAGTTGTGTTAAATCGTCCGTCCACCAAGAATTTTTCTGTTCCGTTCTATCTTTAACACCAAGGGCTTCTAGTGCTGCTTCGTGAATTTTGTGTTTCAAAGTTTCATACATTTCTTCTGCCTTGCCGTTAATATCTTCGTCCAGTTTTTGTGCTAAACGTAGTTTGTAAAGGAAACTGGTGGATTCATCCCTTAAGCTGTCTATGTTATATCGCTTTGTGGGTTTTCCATTGTTATTTTGTTCTTGATATATGAGATGTTTATTGTAAGTAATTTCAATGGGTGCTTTTACTAGCAGGTGATCTGAACCGCACTCAGCTCCTCTCCAAACTTTTACATCATAGGGTATTATGGAAGTGTCCTGCTTAATCACGACATAGTCAATAATTGATTTCAAGTTTTTTGTTTTTTGAGTCCAAGTATATTTGTGTATGTCTTTGTGTTGGAAAAATCCGTTTAAGATTCTTAACGAGTGTTGTTCACAAAGCTCTATCCATCTGGTTCCGTTTTCATTAACTACTTCCTCTCCGTGTTGTCCAATTATTTTACTGTCAAGAGCTTTGCCCACTCTTCCGTTCAGGTCGCCTATCAAGACTATTTCTTGTCTATTTTTCGTCTTATCTAATTCCTCAGAGAGTTTGTCAAAAAATTTGTCTTTTGTGTTTGTATCTGAGTCGTCTGTGGGCGCGTAGATACCGAATATTTTAATTTCTCTTCCTTTTATTTTCATGTCAACCGTTATGATCCTTTCGTCAACTGGGTTCCAGTCCATTATGAACTTCTCCATGACCTTTTTTATTGCAATAGCTACACCAGCTTTGGCCCGTTTCGATTTTTCTACTCCAAAAGCATATGTACCTACTCATCTTTGTAGCTGTTTCCTTGTCCTTTCTTCTTTGTTTCGCTGAGTACTGCTATGACGATGTCGTATGTGTGGAGTTCTCTAAATACTTGATCATCTTTAGTGTTTAGTCCTTGTATATTCCAGCATCCAATATTCGTTAACCGTTTTCTTTGCTTTTGTCGTTTTCCGTGTAATCCGTCCGAATTCCGAGGCTGCTGTATGGGTTTTTTAGCAATGCTTTTTTTTCCACAGGGCGGGGAGCCAACCCGCCGCTACAACCCTCCTCCTTTATCCGGGCTTGGGACCGGCACTGGCAGTCACTGAGCTACTCAATCCACCCAGCATCTACCAGAGGCGGAGTTAAATATCAATTTCAAGATATAACTAAAAGTTTACGAGTACGTAGAAAGATGCGCGAACGAGGCGCTTTTCAGTTTTCTTTGATGTTCGTCGAAAAGATGACAGTCAAAGGGTGACAGTGGCCAAAAGATACAGAGCCTCCACACATCTCATTAGGGGCCGTTCAAGTATTACGTGAGCACTATGGGGGGTGGCGGGGGGGTCTTTGCTTTGCTTATTTTGGATGACATGGGGGGTAGGGGAGTCTAGATGATGATTACGTCATTTAGCTATTTACTTTTTTACATGAATGGCAACCCTCACATTGTCTTTGCTTGAAAACGAAATGCATTTTCGGGGACTCCCGCAAATAATGCATACGTTTAGTGATCAGCGCGCGGTAATTCCCCTACTCGCTTTAGAACCGAGTAGGGGAATTACCGCGCGGTGTTCACTTGTCTAAATTTCCTCTATCAGTGTATTGTTTCCTTTGGATACTATAGCGAGTAGTCGTATTGTAAGCATAGTAAAGCAAGTTAACATTTGTGTTACCATTGATTCCATTAGCCAAAGTTGAATGTTTAAATAAGATGTCGTTTCACATAGACGAATCCAAGTTATACCAAAAATTGTTTGAAAGTTTTAAAAAATCTCATACAAGTACGAAAGTACAAAATGTACAAAAGTTAGTTAACGAAGTGTGGCGAAATTACAAATTACAAGCAAAATCCGACAAGGAACTAGATATTATTGTATCTAAGAGAATCGAAGCAAGCGGCGACTAAGAATAAATCCAATCTACTAAATTTTGTTTCTAAGGTGAGTGACGAAATCATTTTAGGTACCTATGAGTACTAGAAATATTAGAAATCGCCAAAAAGTTTCTCTTTACTGATTATAAAATATTATGGCCTATCTCAAAGTATAGAGGTAATATTCATTATGTTATAGATTTGTTTCTTATGATTGATTCCGTCAATTGATCACAAAGTACAGGATGTTAGTTTTATACATATATCTGATCATATTAAAAATATTCAATGGCTTACTATGCGACAAAGGTGGATACTGCATCTATTATCATTGGTCCACAGTATTATGATAAATAAAATGCCTCTTTATTTGAAGAACAAGCTTACCATGAGATGTGATCATCACTCAGCGAACCTGCGTTTTGTAGGATATACTCTTGACTTGCCTCGGCACCGAACAACCCAATTCAGAAAGAGCTTTTCATATGTGGCGCCCGATTTCTACAATAAAGTACCTCAAGCTTTGAAAACTTTATCTGTGTCCAGCTTTAAAAGAAAAGTTAGGCTCTTTGTCTTTGATGACATGTAGCATGTATTTTTTTTTGATTTCATCTAGCATGTATTTTTATGTAATTTTATTTTTATATTTGTTTATTTGTGCATGTTTTCTCACTCGTCACTTTTCATTTGTTTGTGTTTTGCTTACACATTTGTTACTGTTTACTTTTAATTTTTATATCTTCCGCCATATACCTAATATTTTCTTTTTTTAAAGTTACTTCTAATCACGGTTTTTGATTCTGCTACGTACTCTGTTGCTGCACGTTTCTCTTTTGGTCTTTTGGTCATTATACCATGCTACGATTCTGTAAAAAAATTTTTTTTCTGCTTTAAATGTTATTTTCAATGTATTTTTGTTGTATTTGCATGTACTTGAATTTTTTTTTTTAGCCCTGGTTGGTTCTGAAAAAGAGCTTGTGCTGATGTAACCCGCCAGGTAAAATAAAGGCCATTTATTATTATTATTATTATTATTTATTATATACAGAAAACTAACACCCTG